ACCTTTGTCAAGATGATCAAACATACGTTAGACATCTATATTACAAGGCATCGAGTCTGTATTAACACGAATACTGGTAGTAATAACGTGCCAATAATTATGCTTTGATAATGCATTCATTGTACTCTTTGGGTCTTTCGGTAAAGTCACGGAGATAGAAAAATAATAGATCACGACGTTTCGATCGCAACACAGGCAATCGTCTTCACCTGCAGTCACGAAAGCTTTAAATCAAGTGTTCATACTTGGAACTGATTGGCCTACACCAGAGAAACAGTCTCCTTTTATGGCATTGTCTCACCGGTGCTATAGAGCACAGAACCACAAAAGGCGAAAAACACAAGGACGATGCAAACGACAAAGGATTTATCTATGTTAATACTTTGGTTCTTTCGGTAAAGTCACGTAGGTGAAAATAATAATAAAATACATATAAATATATAAATAAAAATCTATAAATCTTTATTTTTATTTCATTATTATTTTCACCTATGTGACTTTACTGAAAGAACCAAAGAGTATGGATCCTTGCAGTCACGAAAACTTTAAATCTAGAATTATGTTAATACTGGCACAAAAAGGTCCCATAGACACACAACATGCGTTAAGGTTTGCTTTATTATGCTGAAACTGCAAACAAAATGTAACATGTAATTTGTGTTGTTCTTCATGCATCTTGTAAACTAATATGTTATACTAATAAATCGTGTACACGTGTGAAATTTTTTTTTTTCGCAAGACTATTATATCACAAATATTCTTGAAGCAGGGCTCCAATCCAGAATCCAGTGTGCGGTTATCCAGTATCCAGTGTGCGATGATCCAGAATCCAGTGTGTGGTGATCCAGAATCCAGTGTGCGATGATCCAGAATCCAGTGTGCGATGATCCAGAATCCAGTGTGCGGTGATCCAGAACCCAGTGTGCGATGATCCAGAATCCAGTGTGCGGTGATCCAGAATCCAGTGTGTGGTGATCCAGAATCCAGTGTGCGATGATCCAGAATCCAGTGTGCGATGATCCAGAATCCAGTGTGCGGTGATCCAGAATCCAGTTTGTGATCATCCAGAATCCAGAACTTCTATCGTACGAAAAAAACATTTACAAAGGCAGATCGAGTTCAGATATCCAGCCAGGAACAACAACGGATGCGGAATGGACGTTACGTCTTCCCGTCGGGAAGACGCGAATGCAAGGGGCGACCGTTCATGTTGTGTGCAGATCACCCGCACGGCCGAAGAAGCGTGCCTCGTCCTGAATTCATCATCATCATCGTCGTCGTCGTCGCCACTCGCGCACCAGATGTGATCCACGTCGCCCGCGGGACGTCTTGACGCGGTTTACGATCGCTTGCTGGTCGTCGTGATTGCGGGAAGCCACGAGGTTCGGTCCCTGGGATCTCTACGAAGACCGTTCGACGCCAAAGCAATCCACCAGCGAACTACACCGATGCCGATTATCCCAGACATCGATTTAAAAAAAAATGCCGTTCCAAAATATCAGTTGCGTATTTCCGCAACACGCCATACGAAAGAAGATTCACTCATTTTGCTTTCCGTAACTCCGATACCTTCATTAATCTTGTCACGTTGTCCATATTTGCATTGCCAGATTCATTTTCCTCCTTTGTGGTCCGTGTTTTTTTGTGGTTTCGTATTAAATGAGATTGCAGGCTTCAGAAAGGAATGAAACGTCTTGTTACCTGACATAATAAGCATGAAATGAAAATGTACATCAGTAAAAATGTTATTGTCCGCAGTGGACCATAGCCCCTGGCTTTAATTTGTGAGCATATTATTCGTTGTTATTTTGTGTTTTAATATCGGCTGTCGTTGTGGCTTGCACATGGTAATTGCCCCAAGCCTAATAATCTGGCAACATAATCTAGCACATTATGGATGGACATTTAGTTGTGTTCACGCTAATTGCATCGTTACGCTACCAAGCGATTGTTTCCTTTCATGTCACCCTTTGGGGACTAGTCATTGTCAACATACGAAAAACAAATTAAACACAAATGGATAAAAAAAATATGTTTACAAATTCTAGATTTGAAGCTTTCGTGACTGCAAGGATTCATATTCTTAGATTTTTTCGGTAAAGTCACGTAGGTAAAACATCAAAATTAATAAAAATAAAAATAAAATAAAACAAAAAATCACGACGTTTCGGAGGCAATGTTTACAAAATTATTGAAACAAATCGCAATCCCGAGATTTAAAAAAATCCTCTCGTTTTTACCCCACTGCTCTCTCTCTCGCGTTATTTCTTGTTCCGCCTCGTTTGTAGTTTGGTTCCCTCCGTGAGCCTCATTGCAACACGAGCGAATTGTTTTTGAGAATTCTTTGCGTAAATCGAAAGCGTCGATTCCCACGCGATGCAATGCGCGTGAAGTCCCCGAAGGCACCGCGTTAATCGATGGCTTGATGATGTATCATTAAACCCCGATTTAAAACAGAACCACACTTGCCCCTCCCCCCGTTTGAAACAATCAGAATGTATTCGTTCATGGCCCTCTCTTGTGCTTTGTGTGGTTATTGTTTGTCTGTGTGTGTGTGTAAACGGGCTCCAAGCGGCATCCCCTGTGGAATACCAAAAAGGGCCTCCGTTCCTCAGGCACTCAAGCAGGAATGGAAATCTTTTAATCTACCACTGCCTACGATACCCCCCCCAACTGCTGCATTTTTCTAAACAGGTTTCGCGCGATGTAAGCTTCCAAATTGGTGTTCAAATTCTCAATGTGGCATCACTTTGGCTTTGAGTCTTTGTTTTGATATTCATTCCGAGGCCAAAATTTGTCTTTTGTACGAGCGCGGTCACACGCTGAGTTTCACTGTTAAGCCCTCTTTTAATTTAGTAGAACGTTTGGCACTATTGTATCTTGATAACATTTCATTTTAATAAATATATGGCGACATTGTCATAGCTTATTACACCAAATGGTTGAACAGCACGAGTGAGAAAAATAGTCGCTTTATGAATGCCGGTGATTGTTCTCAGATGTTATCATGAATCTTTGGTTCACGGTTATGCATAATGGTTCTACGTTTTTATTTTTAACTTTATGAGTATAACCAGGGTAGCTGCAAACGAAGTTGGCTGTGGTTACACGAAGCAACCATCATATACTGGACATATGTGAAACTACTGGACATCTGTGAAAAGCAGCTTTATAACTCATCGGATTCGTCTAGTATGAATACATATTCTGATTCTGTTCATAACGACCTAGATTTTTGCTCTGATCGCACCCAATCTCCTACCCCTTAGCTGACCATTAGGCTGTGTTTCACTCACAGAGGAGATCGCAAATCCAAAGTGTGTAGAACTGAGTGTCTTGTTGATTTTTCCGGCACAGGGTTTTCTATACCAGAACCGTTTTGCCGCCCCTTTCCAAGCAACGAGACTCCTCACCCACTGGCTCCCAAATCCAGTCTGAGTCAACCGTCAGATCGCCCTCACCGTATTCAAGAGAGACCCTCATGGACTTGCCCCTGCCTACCTCTCTGCTCTCATCTCCCCCTGCATCCCTTCACCCACTCTCTGCTCCAGCATCCAAGGCTGCTCCATCTCGCTTGCTCCTCCCGTCCTATGAAACTGCCCCCCTCTCCTTCCCAGTCATCCATGCTTTTGACTACATGCCCCCCCCCCCCCATTCAGGATCAAAACCTCCCTCTCCTCCTCTGCCTGTGACTGACATTCCCCCGTGTATCAAGGTGATTCCCTTCCCGCCTTACTTAAGATTAAAACACCCCCCTTTTAACTCCGTGAGTAGCACTGTGAAACGCAGTCGCATGGAGACGCTCCGGTAATGAACACGTTGGATTCCTGCATTGTAGTTGTAAATGCGGTCCGTTGTGCACGGCGAGGTGCTGTTGTCGGGCGAACACGGAGACAGGAGGGCAGTGTGACAACCCTGCAGCATAACCTTTTTAAAACGGGGGTGTCGTACAAAACAAACCCCATCCTTGACTCGGCGATGAGAATTTTAAATGGGGTGCTAAGCTTTCATTCGGCAGGCCGTACCGTGAATGTGACCCCTCGTCCCTGTTGTGTTTGCTCTCCAGCAGCCAGAGGTACTGATGACCCACGCAGTGTGGACCTTTGTTGCACGAAGGCAAGCGCGTGGGGCGGTAGAGGTGGAGAGAATGCACCCTCGTGAAACATTCACTCCCGACCAGATAGGTTTCTCTTTCCTCCACCAAGCACTGCTCGCCTCAACCTTGCCACTTTCCTCGTGTCGAATTCATCTCGGGTGACCCAGGGTTCGAGTCTGGCCTCCAAGCCTCCGAGTCCTCGAGGGTAGCAAGTCGATGGTCTCTCCTCGGTCACCATGAACTGACAATTAAAATTAGTTTGACTGCCACGCGACGAAGACTCTTTGCAGGGCGTATACAAAAAAAAACGTGTGCCTCCAGTGTGAATAAAGAGGAACGTGTGATGCAATCGTAAAGGACTGCTCGCTGACACAGGGCGATGCACTGCTTACTGCGAGAACTTCAACCATATAGTGCGTATAACCGTATTGTCTGGCAGAAATATTTCCCGCACCTCCGATTAGCCACGCACGGTGCGAAATAAGTTTAACTTACATACCTACATACAATAATAGCACGATTGCAATTCAATCGGGGAGAGAGCGGGGGGGGGAGAATGGTTTTATTTATTTGATTTAACATAAAAGGAAGCCACCGTCTACATACAGGGTTACAAGGCTGCAGGACCATAACTCTTGGCACAGCTCTGCAAAGCCATTACGGTTGTGGCATAGTTGCTAGAGCCATCTGGCACTCATCACGGAGCGGTGCCTCCCTTTCCAGTGCGACCCAGCGCTCCGCCTTACCACCACTCCCGTCGCTCGCTCTCTTTAAGTCGGTGGGAGGCACCCCCCCCCACACCATCCCTCTCCCCCCCCCAAAAAAAACGAGGTTAAGATTCGACAAAGATAAGGCAGATAAATAAATAAGTGGGAAATGCTGGAGCCCACCCTCGTGCCCTGGAATACGGGGCACGGGAGTCCGCACACACCACCACCTCCTCCTGCTTCTCCACCGCGCGCGCGCGCGCTCGCTCACACACGCGGACCGTTCGTCGCCCCTTAGGCAGCGGCTGCTGCTGCTGCTCAGACGAGCGGTCCCGTTTCTGCGGTGGTTTGGTGCCGTGGGTTTTTTTTTAGTTATTGTTGTTTGGTTATCCGCCTTAAGAAAAAAAAAATTCCCCCCCCCCCCACCCCTACTTTTTGTGCGCCGGCTATAGCGCGGTGGTTTACGGTGCAGAGCGATCGGAGGACTGCAAGCGAGGCCGAGTTTGTAAATTGTGCCTGGGACACGGACTCCCGTGGGGGGAGGTCCTGGGATACTACCCATCCTGGAGGTGCGTGAGTCGTCTCTGTCTCTCTGCACTGCGCTCCGTCGCGTGATGCCCGGGTGTCGATGATGATGATCATGGTGGTGCGGCTGTGAATTTTGATGATTTGTTTTTATAAGGAGTTTAAGTGTTGGTGGCATTGGAGGCGCGTCTATTGGTTGCTATAGTGGAAATTAATTAAATTAATTGACTGTCTTTTATCATGATTTTTTTGCGCTATATGGCATAAAATTGCATACGAAGCTTGGCTCTTATAATTGTTCAATCGACATTTGACCCCTGCAGTAACATAATGTCAAGGCTTCAAGTATATTGCACAGCAGAACACCTACAGTTACGATATAGAAAATGTATAATATTATGTAACTGTTCTTGAGCAAAATTTCGTTCATCGCTTTATGACAACAGTTGCATATAACGCGTGAACGCTTATAATACGCTCAGATACTTCACTGTAAAGCCAAATGCATCAATGTGCAATACTCTTATATATATATAAGGTGCACACAACAAGCACAATAAATCGATTCAGATTAAAGCTTAATTTGCTCTCAACCTTTAATTAACGCGCTTCGGTGCATATTTACAAACAGGGTAGATGCGTAACGCAGAGCTGCTACTGCCACTACCGCAGTCGTGTACGACATTGGGGGCCGGCTCTGATATATTAGCGCACATTATCACCTCCAAGTGTAATAAATTGCCTGGCTTCTTGTGTTCAAGCTTCACTGGTTCGCAGGCGCCCGCGCGCGGCTCCCCTTCAGCAGTGATGGAACATTATCGATAAGTGCCGCTGCGTGCGTGTGGGGAACGCAACGGGCTCGCTCTCCTTTTGTCTCCCACCGCGAGCAAAATCCACGGCTTTTGTTCTCGGGCGTGAGCCGCTTGCAACGTAATGGAATTGGTCAATCGGTTTCAAAGGCAATGCGTGTATTATCAGAGCATCGTGGGATCGTCTTTTGGCAGTATCAAAGTATGGAAAAATAAGAATAGGTTGTACCCTTTATTTCTTTATTGTCAGAAAGGGTAAAATGCATTTTTATTTTTGCATTATCAGATCGTGTTTGTTTTGCATGTTCACCGCACGCACGCGTGGTCAATGCACACTTGATTCCTTTGCAAAAATATATCTATTTGGTGTTTGAACATCTTAACACCTGTTTTATTGCCAGAAAGGATGAAGCCTATTCCTATTCTAGATTTGAAGCTTTTGTGACTGCAAGGATTCATACTCTTAGTTCTTTCGGGAAAGTCACGTAGGTAAAAATGAAATAAAAATTAATAAAGAATAAAATAATTTATTTAATTTCAATTTCATTTTTACCTACGTGATTTTACCGAAAGCACTAAGAGTACCTATTCCTATTCTTATGTTTCGTACTTTGATACTGGCGAACAAAGATCCCATGATACAGCCCATTTATCAGCGTTGTGGGAGCCTATGTGATCACATTTGAACCACGCTGGTCAGTGCGGTTTGGTGAACGCGGGGAGCATAGACGTGGGTAACGTAGTGCAGTACAACGACGGGTGCTTCTGCAGTGCTCTCTGTGCTGACAACATAGCCATGCAGGAAAGCCGACAGCACCTGCTTCATATGTCCATGGCGGTCGCCCACGTAACCATCATCCCTAGTGAAGCGATCTCACAAGATCGGGGACATTCCGGGTGATTTGGATTTGATCGTCGACGGTTTACAAAGCGGTCCCACAAAATAAAACGATGTATAGGAGGGAATCCTCATTGCACGCGACACACCAACTGGCCGTTAAGCTGAGCCCTTTGACGTCAAATTAATTCGCGCGCGCATCCGTGCACGTGCGATAAAATAAAAACCCAAGTGGAAAGGCCTCCATGTTCTCGTGCGTATTGGGTGGTGGTCATCTCCCGGGGCGGTCCCGTGCCCCCCTGGTTTGAATTTCAAATTCACGTGCCGAGGTCCAGTGTTTGTATAGGGCAACTGCTGTTGACTTTCAACAAGGGTTTGCGCATGTTATTCACCCGTGGGAAATGATATGCCGATGTTGAATCACACCCCCCCACACCCCACCTCCATCCACACTGTGACAATTCGTAACAATGCAAATCGTACGTTGCGTCTTGCAGACCCTTTGACTTTGTATTCATGAAGCTGTAACGTTGAGAGTGGGTGGCACGGTGGTTGGCGTACGACACTACGAACGTGCCATGGTGCTGAACTGTTTCTTCACCATCCCGTACTGAATTTCGATTTAAAGCTTTCGTGACTGCAGGGATTCATCTTCTTGGTTCTTTCGGTAAAGTACCGAAAGAACCAAGAAGATGCATTCCGTACTGGTCAGCGTGGCGATGTATGGCCAAAGAGCGCCCATGACCGCTGCATTGTGAGAACACCTTCATCCATCATTGGGTGGATAGAGTGGCCTGTAAGTTATTGTATTGTATACTGTTAATATGGGGAGTAGTTCAGTTATTTCGGAACATCCAGTCCATTTGGTGTTTGGCTGTGATACCAACCCAAGTGCCCTCTTTCGTTTCGGTCTGTGCCAGTTGTGCATTCAATTTCATGGCTGTACTTGGGCCGCACATCTTTCCAGATGACGTTTCGCTGCCAGCACGTGGCGGTCCTGTCTAACGCTGTCCAATTTCTCCTCGTCTCATGCGTAACATTGAACGATTTCGGGAATTAAGTGGCTCAGCAGTAGAGCGAGCGGTTCGTTAACAGAAAGTTGTGAGTTAAAATCCTGGTTGTGGGATGGCTATTCTATGGGTCTTTCGATAAAGCCACGTAGATAGAAAATTTATAAAAAATATCACGACGTTTCGATCGTAACACAAGCAATTGTCTTTACCGAAAGACCCATAGAATATACACTATACAGTACTGCTTTATTTATAACTCATTAAATTTAGAAGAATGTAGGCATATACAATAATACATCACATGTGCTTTGTGCCTTCTTTAAGCAGTGGATTGATAATGAACTGAAAGCTTTTATTTTTATGCAATTATTTTGTTGAACCCGCTGCTGCAAGGCGCCTTACAAGATAAGCAGATACAACGTGTCCTAAACAATTACATTCGCTTAAACGGGACACGTCCAAGAGGATGTCCTCCAAGGAGATGGAGCAATTAAATCAATGAATGTGCAGGTGCTGCACGGATTATTACATTGCATGATCATGAGAGGTGGCAGTGGTTTGGGGAGGCCTTCATCCAACAGTGGATTGACCATGGATGATGATAATGATGGTGGTCTGGCATGTACTGTAGGGTGCATGGAATAATTCTTAGTCAATCTGTGCATTCTCGTTTTTCTCTGCTTGGGTCCTAATATCAAATGTGTCCATGTGCGTCTTGGTATACTTGCGAACGTGAACATTGCAAAATTAATGAACTAACCATTAACGCCGTGTAAGAAATGCAGCTGGTAGTCTTAACTTATTTAGCACGATGGGCCATCTTCATGAAAGGTCGCTTTTTAACTTGGTGGATTCTGGGATCTGCTTTGAAGATGTTTACTTTGGCATCTCTCTAGATGAGCAAAATACGAGATAATCTGAGCTGCTTAATAAGTGGTGACGTATGGCACGTAAGGGACGAACTCCATTCAGCGAAGCTTGGATTGCAATTATTTGTCATTTAGAAGTGGCTTCTTTGTAAATGTATCTTCCAATTATTTCTCAGGTTGTTATATACAGCATCGATAAGTCTTAGTTAGCAGGCACTCTGAATGTGTAAGGAGCAAGTGAGGCTACAAGTCCCCTGAAAGAGAGATCTGGGACGAACAATGGGAACACATGTTAAAACATTCCAACGCAAACTCTCCGATTAGCACAGTTGGCTACGTACAGTGCGAAAAAAGTTCAACAATCATGCAAAACAAGACCAAAAATCCTATCAAAATGTTATAACAAATTCTTACCTTGATAATTAGAACTTTTACAAAATAGAAGTTTTAAAACATATATATGTCTAACCATTGGATATTAATGTTGAACATGTGAACAGTGTAAGAATGACCATTTAAATATATGATTAAAGTGGCCTTTATAGTTGTTTGCACGTAAACCTTGTCAAAATCTCAAAGTTTGTGCGTGGGCCTCATGGTTCATTTAAAAATCCCTTCTGTTCATCTCTATCCATTTCTCCAAGTCAATGATGGACATTCCACATTTCTGTGACCATAAAACGGCTGAATATTGCAGTGTAACGTGACACGTTTACTTCCAACAAGGTGGAATTATTATTTGTATTAACCACCGAAAGATGATAATATGCTGGGCTGATTTGACCTCGCAATGTTCCAACTGCAAACGTAGCTTTTTTTTTTGCTCCACATCGCGCGCTTTCAGATGTGCTTCTACGACCGTCTGCAATGATCTCCCTTCCGATAGTCGGAAGCCACTGGATCTATATTTAATCAACAGATTGAATCTGTATTAAAAACTAATTTATTTTTAGAACTGCTTTTGCTGCTCAGTTTGTTGTCCTCCCCCCAGCACGCTTGGCTACGTACGGTGTAAAAGAAGTCCAACATACATACTTCCACCCCCCCCCCCCCTCGGGCCCTCCGCAGACGCGTTCGCTATCCCGGCAGCCGCCACCTCCTCCCAGGATGACGCTCGACAGCCTGGAGAAGGTGAGCGTGTGCGAGGGGCATGTGTCGGGAGACGGGGGCAACCCTGGCGGGGAGGCGAAGCCCCCCAGCTCGGCGGGGACGTCGACCATCGGCGGCCACCACCACCACCACCATGCCACCCACAAAGGCACGCTGACCGTGCCGCCACCCTACTCGGCCGATGAGCGAGCGGCGCCGCTGGAGGCGAGGGAGCCGCTGGATTGCTGGGCTTGCGCCATCCTGCTCACGGCACACAACACGTGCGTGGCGGCGCTTAACCTGCTTCTGCTGGCGCTCGTCTTCGGCCTGCTGCTGCTGCCCGCCATCGTCATGGTGTGGTTCGGATTCTCGTGCCATTCCAGGGTAAGCGGCGCGCGCGCGCACGGGGTGCGGTGACCTTTTGAACTTTCATCTTCTTGGTTCTTTCGGTAAAGTCACGTAGAATGGAAATAATAAAATAATAAAATTAAAACATGAGAAAATAATTCTCAAGACGTTTCGACCACAACGCAAGCAGCCGTCCTCAGGTGGAGAACAGGTCTGTCGAGAAGACAGAGTCAGAAGACAGAGTCTGAAGACAGAGTCTGAAATTTCAGACGCTGTCTTCTCGACAGACCTGTTCTCCACCTGAGGACGGCTGCTTGCATTGTGGCCGAAACGTCGTGAGAATTATTTTATTATGTTCTATTATTATTATTTTAATATTTCCATTCTACGTGACTTTACCGAAAGAACCAAGAAGATGAATCCCTGTAGTCACGAAAGTTTTAAATCGAAACTTTTGAACTTTTTAAATTGCGAGGTTTCTCAGTTTCATTTATTTGGTATAGCCCTGTGAGCCATTCGGCTCTTGAATCGGGTGCAACCGCAACAAACAAAAAACATGAAACAAAAAATGAACACGAAAACATCTTAAAGTGACTATGTGACTATGTGCAAACAGAAAATCCAGGAAAAGACAGCAAAATATTACACAAAAAGAGAGAGGCGGGGGGAGGGCGAGGTTTGGACGCTTGGTGTGGAGAGTGGCCGATGAAAGGGATCGCAGCACGATGCATCGATGTGCCGTCCTCCTACGCCAAACTGTACCAACGAGCGTGCTGAAGTGTGATCAAATAATCCCCGTTACCGGCACGGCACGTGGAGGCCCTCATCCAGCAGTGGAGTGACAATACTAGCTGTATCTGTACAGGCACAATACGGCTTTTATTTGATTGTCAGTTGACCAGATGATAACTCAATCCATCGGTGCAACCTTTGAGCGTTATCAGCTTACATGCATGGTGCTTTGTCTGCAGTTTCCTACCAAATGAAGCCAAACTGTAATTTCGTGGAAATTGAATTATTTTATTTGGGCCAAACATCCCAATGTAGAACCCTCCTTAAAACAAAGAAGTCTCAGGTCTCGGCGAGGCTTTTCTGGGTGAAAGGAATGGCATTGCCATTACTCTTAGCGAGGGAAAACAATAAGGGTGGCATCCTGCTGTTTACCACATCATATCCTTGATTGGGGGGGAAGGGTCTTGATGCAATGTTCATCATGTATCGCGTGCAGCGTGGCTTTTGGCAACTGGATTCAATGATCAATTCACAAATTCTCAGTCAAGTGGCAACCCTATAGGTAGCAGGCAAAGATAAAGATCACCCGTGTAGCCTTTAGAGACTGTTGGGGCAAGTGCTGTTAGAGAGCACCTTTGAACGCCGGCACCGCACACTAGGAGATGGGTGGCCAACACCACGCCCGACCGCCTTTGTCTCCCCATTGACGATATTTACACACCACACAGGTACTCATTTGAGACTGAGTCGACCTAGGGGAGGCCCATGACCGGTTCAGACAATCGTTACTGGTGTTGACCGTTAGCAGGAATCGAACTCGGGTCACTGGATTCACAGCACAGCAGCGCGCTAACCGCTACCCTACCGCTCCCTCCTGTGTAGTAGGCTCACACACACTCACACAACCATGCGTGGCTGCTTTCATAATTTCCACTGCTGGCTTCATAGGAAGCTTTGAGCCCTCGATTGAAATCGTTCGCACAAACCCAAGGTTTTTTAGAGAAAGCTTCTTTCGTCTAGACAGTTATTAATTGTGCAGTCTCCGTGGTTACTCAGGGTCTCGTTTGTACAATCTGTCCGTTCTCGTTCAATTAAATTCAAATGAGTGTAACCACTTTCATATCATGCGCATGCGTTGTAAAATAAACGATGAGCACGTACACGATTCGATTGCGTGTGGTCAGATTAAGAATCGTTATTCAACGATGAACCGATGCATCGTTGTATTGCTTCGACTAGTATTAGCGTATGGACTGAGTTGTTTTAACAAGCATGTTTTAAATGTTAGCTGCCATTGAACGACTTTATTATATTGACTTCTTTTATGAGAAATGTGCCTTGAATTGGATGTTTAGGTGAGCTGTAACAAAAGTGTTCCTCGAGATAATGTATCTTTTGGCTTGTATCAATGTAAACGGTGGAATTTTGCTCAATATTAACATCCTTATATTTTTTTATTTATCTAAATATTATATGTCCTGAATTTTTTAACTTACAATAAATACACGGTTGGCCACAACAATAATGACATCATGTTAGTTTTGTGCAATTTGCAAGCAGTTTGAGAAGGCACATATTTGATACAATGTAAAGAAAAAACCTATTTGAAAGGTTAAAAGTAGGGCAACATGGTTTGACATTGTTTATGAAACTGCATCAAAGGTTAGGCTCACGAAAAAAACATTTGTTTTCATTTTCAACTTTTAAAGAAAATATACTGCAAGGGCAGCGGACTCATTAAGAATTCCCAGAGCGTGCGTGAACACGGGGAACTAAGAAGACATTTAGAAAAGCGACTGTGAGCTGCGCAGAAACGAGTCGAAGCGATTTCCTGAACAAATGATGATGATTGAAGGCGGTGGTCATCTCCTGTTTACAGCCCTGAGAGTTCGTGGTGGAATTTCCACATCCCTGTGGCAGCGAAAAGATTATATCCATAGGAGGCAACCAATGTTGACTTCCCCCACAAAGTGGTTCCTAATTTATCGATCCCAGTGGGATGATGGGCTTAGTCAAACCCAAGCCGGGATTTAAACTCGAAATCTTTCAATTGCGAGATGCTCTCTATCTACCGCTGAGCAATCTGGCCAGTTAGCAACAAGATAGAACACATTTTCTTGGTTCTTTCGGTAAAGTCACGAAAGAACCAAGAAAATGAATCCATGCAGTCACGAAAGCTTTAAATCGAAATAGAACACATTTGTCATATATATTTATTTGTATATACACACGCAGGGCTAAGGCATTCTGCCGTGCTGCTTTCTTGAAGAACTCTGAACTGTAACCAGTTTTATTGACTTTTAAAAATTGCTTTTGAGATACAAGTCCTACAGATTTGAACGTTGGGTAAAAGCCATTGTGTAAATAAATCTAAAGCCAGTGTTCCTTTTGATGCCCAAAACACACACACACATTGAGATCCCAAACCGTTATATTTGTTTGAGTTTAGTGGAGCCTACTACTTTACGAATTCCAAAAATAAATAGATATATATTTTAAAGGGGTCGGATGTCGCATATCATTGTAGCTTGTAACATTCTAAAAAGATTATATAAAATAAAGCATAGAATATAATGTAATAGCATAAGGGAAACTGTAATTGTGAAGCGAAAAAGTCAGATGTCCTTGTTAAGCTATTACATCAAAAGTGCTGACCCTTTGGGAAATTCCATTTCCTCTGGGAGCTTTATGTTTAAAATTTCCCTTCTCTTCAAGTCGAGTTCCAAGATGGAATCTTCCTTATCTACGAGTTATTTAAGGTTATTTGCCCAGACTCTGGGTGGCTCCTGAACCTTCCCTCCCACTACTTTGGGGAGGGATGAAGTTGTTTACTCTCAGAAAACAACCGTCACTTACAGACATTTTAAATCTTCCCCAACTGTTTTCTACATAGAAGAAAAACTAATAAGAGATCGAAGTGTCTTTTTTTTTTAAACACCGTCAAGCCCAGTGATAAATAGCAGACCTAATGGACTGTGTTTCACCCCAGTGTAACGGGGTTACCCCTCTCGAAGCCCTGCGCACGTCACGGCACATAGCGCCGTGTGATTTGTGTTGGCACATAATGATTCATCTCTCCCCAGCGATTTGTGGCCACAATTCGACTTAACAATAATCCAACGAAAAAAAATATTGTCTCATTGTATTTGAACATCTCGTGATGAATTTGACGCTGCCGTTGTGTGAGGGGTAGCAGCATGCCGGACTTGCAATCCAGAAGTTGACGGTTCAATTTGATCTTCCGGCACGGCAGTTGAAACAGTGGGGACATTTTGATTTGAAGCTTTCGTGATTGCAGGTATTCATATTCTTGGTTCTTTCGGTAAAGTCACGTAGAAGGGAAATAATAAAATAATAAAAATATAATCATTATCAGGGCTGATGATGATTGCTTCAGGGCTGATGATGATTGCTTGTGTTGCAGTCGAAACGTCGTGAGAATTTTATTGTTTTATATTTTTATTATTTCCCTTCTACGTAACTTTACCGAGAGAACCAAGAATATAGTGGGCACATTTTTTAACCCCCCCCCCGCCTCCATCTCTCTCTCAGTATGTGCCGTGTCCTTGCCAAATATGTCGAAAATCATGGCCTTCCATTGAGCTCTGTCCATGATATTACTCAAGAACTTTGCATGATATAGATACTCCTCCCATGTATGGATGTTGAACTTTTTTTGCACCGTACTTAGCCAACCAGTGCGAAACAGAGGTGCATCTGATTGTTCAGTTAGCTCACGTGAGTCGATCGGCAGGTCACGTGTGGTGGGGTAAAGTATGGGCATTTCCACCTCTTCCCACACAACATCTGGCCAGCATGGAAGAGTAGGCCAACATTTCCCTAGAGAGGCTCTCTTTAAAGGTCACTGTAGTGGAGGCCTTTCTGCCAGCAGTGACGTGAATTAGCAAATGCAAGGGCAGCACCTTTACCTATTATTATTATTATTACCACGTCGTGTGTAGTGTTCACACATTTTATATCTCGTCTGTGCAGTTGCGTTTGCTCAAGTTAGCCTAAATGTAACATTGGCTTGTCATTTTTATTTAATTTGTATAAATTCTGACATTTTGACAATTCAATTAAGGTGTTGTGAGAATAAGAATAAGGACTGTGCGTTAATGATTCAATAGATCGTTACCTGTCTTCCTCTTTGGGTTTTCAAAATCCAGGTTGGTAAAAACTGAGTGAGGTAATATACACATGTAGGGGGAAAAGCCACAGGTCTTGTAACGTGGTGGCTTAATTTCAGTTTTAGTTTAAGAATTAATAGTTTAAGAAATTGGAGAAATAGCTCATGTGGTTGG